CCAAGTGTCCGAGCAGTGTCATAGTTTGAACATAATCTATTCATAAAGCCAGGGCTTTCGAGTTTCCTCTATAACCAATTGCCTTAGTGGAATATCTCAGCTTTAGAGGGACAAATCACTGAAGGGTTCATCTCATCACAAAGTCTTTGGTCTGACAAAAACAGTGGAGCAAACACCGAATTGCCAAGTGTCCGAGCAGTGTCATAGTTTGAACATAATCTATTCATAAAGCCAGGGCTTTCGAGTTTCCTCTATAACCAATTGCCTTAGTGGAATAGCTCAGCTTTACGGATTTAATTTCTTAAGATTGTCTAGAAAACTTTTATAGTCTAGGTGTTTTTGAAAGTCAATGGATCTCATCTTTAGAGTTCAATTTCCAAACAACTGACCTAAACTAGATTTGCTTACTCGACTATTCTATCTGTGAAGATCATTATCATCCCTGAACATCATAAACAAGAGTATAAACCAATTAGTTTTGCAATATCATGTGCTAGTTGCCCTATTCTGTTCGCTCTTAATACGTGTCTGAATACCAAACCTTGGATGGACTCTTCATGAGAAGAGAAAACTTAGCTCGGTAAGAGAAAAATATGTAGTCTGATGTATCTTTTAAATTAGGACCAAGGGGTCTTTGTTTTGCAGGGTTCAATCATGTCATTTGTCAAAGATTTACAACCTCAATTATTAAATAGTTTTTAATTGAGGTGATATTCAAGGAATTCAAGATTAAAATTTGCTCATCTCCTAAGAAGGAAGCATTTTATTTAAAATGTTTAAACGTCAAGTGACTTAAAAATGTTCACGCATAAGAAGTGCGAAAGAAAAACAAGTTCAAACAAGATGATATACTTGATAATGCAACAAAATTCCTAATGGATGCCCCATATGACTCTCGATCAGAATGCCCCATTAAATATTGAAAGTGAATGCCCCTGAATCAATCAGATCTTGGACCTTACATTTTAATGCCCCACAATTCTCAGTAGTGTGCCCTGAGCTCCCAATATGATAGCTGCATACGGCGTTAATATTATGACCTTCAGGATATGGGGCCTCTCTAGGTTTGGATTGAACTAGAGTCAAAAGATTTTTCTCAACTAGTATGTCATTGGGATTGGACTGATGCAAATCTTTTCTTTTCTTGGTCCTCTCTGAGTTTGTTTAGAAGTACTAGACGGTACAACTGCAACAGTTTTTGGACTTGAGACCGTAACACCTTTGTTGGCGTTGTAGGTACTGACATTGTTGATATCTCCCTCAATTTTTCCTTGTTTTATAGCTAGCTCGATCATCTCACCAGCCATAACTAGATCTGAGAAGTTCCTGATGTAATTGCCACCAGGTGCCCGAAGTAAGGTGCCTTCAGGGTCTGTAAAATAGCTTTTTAGTTTCATTTTCATCCAAGGGTGGATGAACTTGGACAGACAAATCCCTCCAACGCTGTGCGTATTGTCGGAAACTTTCATTGTGCTTTTTCTCCAGGCTTTGTAGCATAACTCGGTCTGGTCTCATATCGTTGATATGCTTGTATTGTTCCAAGAAAGACTTGGCTAAGTCTTTCCATATCTTGATATGAGTTCGGCTGAGCTGGTTGTACCACCAGATAGCTGAACCGGACATGTTCTCCTGGAAGCAGTGGATCAGGAGTTGGTCATTCCCTACATATCCTGTCATCTTCCGACAGAACATAGTGATATGGGCTGAAGGGCAGCTGTTCCCGTCGAACTTCTCAAACTCAAGAACTTTAAACTTTGGTGGAAGCACCAAATCTGGAACCAGGCTCAGCTCAATTGCATCTACTCCATAATCATGGTCCCCTTGGACCATCTTCATTTGATCTTCTAACATCTTGATCTTCTTTTCCATATTCTTTTCCTTATCCTCATCGTCAAAATCCAGGACATGATAGTCTTCCGGATGAGTATTGGTCGCGGAAGCTTGTATATTTGCACCAGATATAACTTTCCCATTGATAGCATATGAGTCCTCTTGTAATCCGGGTAAAATTTCAGGTGAGACAACCCCTTGTGGGGTAGGTGGTATAGTTACCCCTTCCGGTAAACCTTCCCCAAACACACTGGTCTGTTGTAGGCTAACTAACTTGGCAACGATCTGATCAACCAAATATTCTTGGTTCTTCATGATTGTATTCAGAGTACTCAGACTAATCTGGTTTATCTTATCTTCAAGTTCTTTCTGCAATTTTGCCATGTTCTCCTCGATTTGAGCCATTCTGGCCTCCATTTGTTTTTTCTTTTTCAAGCGGGTGTTATGTGGATGAGGTGTGTCCAACGCTTGAGGCGGTGTATCCAGTATTTATTCCTTCATTGAGACATTCTTCCGAATAATCCTCATTGGGACAAAAGTGTTTTATCTATTAAGAGACAAAATATTCTGACAGCTTTTGACATGTTGACTAGTCTTCTGTATTCGTATGTCACTGTTTGAATAACATGTCGAACCACTCCGGCTTCTCTAGATGGGTCGTGCCAATTGAGTTACTTTTTGCACTGGCCCAAGAAGTCTTGAATGACTTCATCTCTAGCATCTATCTTTTGTTGAGCCTGTCCCCAATGAATGCGTCATTAGAGCCCTCGATTGATAGGAAAGTCATTAGTTTGTTCCTTGAATTCGTCAGCAATGATCTCCAATTCCAGCTATCGTTTTATAATTGTTATCTCTGAAGGGACTCCTAAGATTAGTAACCTTCATCTTGCTCCTGCAACCTCTGACAGTCAGTTTTTCCAAGATAGTCTTTCATTGTGCTTGATGCAGACCCGATTCATTCTGAGTCCTTTATAACGCAGCAAAGTGATATTCCTCAATTGTGGGCACCACGCCTTCAGGATTGAATATGACACATAGTCCTTGTAGACTGTCCTCTGCATTTTTATCTATTGTATTACAACCCCTTATCCATTAATTCAGATTATTTATGTTTAACAAACACATTTTTGGTGGATCAACACCTCTTTTAAATGATGCAGGTGATGAAAACAAAATAAAAGAGAACAAAAACAAAAAGAGTTAGTGAGGTAAATCAAAATAATAATAAAAATGAAAAATCCTACCCCACATGATATCTACCCCTCATGCTTATTATTCCTACCCGGACATGATCTCTATCCCGTAAGTTGGTTTTGAACAAGTCTTAACCGCATAAATTTCTAGTTCACATGCTTTGAACAGAAAGTAAAGCAGGAAATAATTCCGGCATCCTAGGGTTTGAAATGAGGTCTTGGGGTGGGCCCTAACTCCTTGTAGTCCCCGGGTTTAGGTTCTAAAAAAAAGGTACCCGAGTTCTCTTTGTTGGTGTCCCCTTGGGCTTACCAGACCCTTAGTCCTAAACCCATCACAGGCTTGTGTGGACTAAGTTAAACTCGAGAGGACACATTCCCTTATGCCCATACGGAGAATAAATTCACACGAAGGCGTCACTTTCACCCCACTTAAAACGGGTTCGGAGCTCGGGTATAGAGCCTTTAGATGAAAAAAAACTTTGAAGGCTGAAATCATGAAAAAACGATTAGTCCAACTATTTACTCTAAAATAATCAAAAGTAAGTAAAAAGGATCGAAATATTACCTTAAAATTTAAACTTACCCTTTTCGTTAAAAAGACAATTAGAAATTACCTTAGCCTGACTCACTTACCGTCCCCAGCAGAGTCGCCAAGCTGTCGCAACCGTCTTTCAGTTGGGCCCCTGAATTGGGCTTCGACTTAGAAAAATGTGGATTGGAGTCGCCACCGATCATTTATTTAAAAATAAATGGGTTGATCGGATACCCTATTTCTTACCTGATCTGCGTCTTACCAGAAATATGTCGGGCTCGGGAGTCGGTTACGGTCAAGGAAGGATTAGCACCCTTGAACCGCCCTTTCGGTACTACGTAATTTCCAGTTGTCTTAATTAAGAAAAATAACAAGTTAAATTAAAAAGTAAAGTTTCGATCCTAATTACTTACCCTTGATTGATTTGAAAATATCCTTTAAAAAGAATCGAGAAATGTGTTAGATAAACAAGGTAAAGAAAACAAATAAGATACAAGGAAAAAATAAAATAAATAAAATAAATAAGTAAGATAAGAAAAAAAAATAGTAAAGTAATAATTATATATAGTAATATTTAAAAAAAGGAAAAAAAAATATAAATATATAAAGTTATAAGATATATTACATAAATAAAGAAATAATCAAATAAAAATAATTAAAAATATATATATATTTAATAATAGATATATAAATAAACTATTAAAAGTATAAAAAAATATATACGACTAGATAAAGATAATTACAATATATATATATAGTAATATTAGACTTATAAGTAAAATATTAAAGAAATATTTATAAATAATAAAATATAGTTTAATATATCATGAATAATAAAAATAAATGAATAAAATATCTATATAATAAATAAAGGGACTAATATAGATTTTTTAAAAAGCTCTTCCCCTCTTTTAACCGAAAATTAAACCAGTTTTTAAAAATAAGCCTCGGGGTAGAACTAGGTTCGAAACTTCGAAACCCCACCCATTTTGATCATCGACGTAACCCACGTTTTGGGTTATTCGAACCAAATCTCAAGAAAAAATAACGTGTACATACAAAAGAAAGAAAAAAGAAAATACTACATTTTATTTCATTTTCGAATCATTTACAATAGTTTCGCCTTTGTATCTTCTCGTGCTTTCCTCTATGTTTTGTGTGTAAATTGTGTGTTACAATGGTGAGTTACAATGGCTATTTATAGTGCTTGTGGATCTTATCTTTAGGAATTTAAATCTTGGTTGAACTCTATCCTATTTTTAGGAGTTTGAATCCTAACAAAATTTTATCCTATTTTTAAGAATTTAAATACTAATAAAACGAAAATATGTGTTGACACGGTGCCAGAAAAAAAGATATTCGGTTAAACGGTGTTAGTAAGGTCGCCTTCAAATGAACGGTGATAGATTGATTTCTGTCCTTTTTTTCCTAGTCGGCGGCGGAAACCCAAAACTAAAACTTCTCAAAGATCTCACTTTTGCACAGCTCCAGTGTTGAAGAAGATGATAATGGAGGAGCAGTGGAAAGTGGTTCATTTACTTGGGATGTTGGTTTTGGTATTTGCACAACAATGGAAACTAGTGGAAAGCAATGCCCAAGGTTCAGTTTCATGTGGGTTTCTAGCAATGTATAACTTTGGGGACTCAAATTCCGACACTGGTGGGATCTCTGCTACTTTAAATGAAATCCTTCCGCCCAACGGTGAAACCTTCTTTGGACATCCCGCCGGCAGGGCCTCCGATGGTCGACTCATCGTGGATTTCATAGGCAAGTGGCTTTTTTCATTGTTTTTGTTTGATTTAACCTTTTGATTTACGTTATCTCTGGGTTTGCAGCTGAGAGTCTGAAGTTACCATACCTTAGTGCATATCTGGACTCAATTGGGACAAATTTCAGGCATGGTGCCAATTTTACGACGGGTGGCTCATCTGTTAGACCACCTGGGTTTAGTCCATTCAATCTCGGGATTCAGATTTCACAGTTCATTCAATTCAAATCTCGCACCACCGGTCTCTATAATCAACTTAGCCTTAATAGTAAGCCAGTCTTTCTCATGGTCTAAAGAAGAATTTTATGTTATTGGTCGAACTTATAAAGTATTAGAGCCAAACCAGATTATCAATAAAAAAAATATGTACTTAAATTATTTGAGAATTTGAAATTTTGAGGGGCTACCACCCTGTCAGCCCCTCGGTCCATCCTGCTCTCTATCTGTTTTTTTATAATGTTGCTTCGTCTGTAGTATTTCTTGATTAGAAACTAAACCTCTTTTTTGCAATCGTGAACTTTTGATATCAGGAAGAATCCCTTTATCCATTAGCAATATTCCAAGGCCAGCCGAATTCTCACAAGCTTTATACACATTTGATATTGGCCAAAATGATCTGGGTCATGGTTTCGAAACCATGTCAGAGAAACAAGTGCTGGATTCAATTCCCCATATTATAAGCGAGTTAGCCAAAGCTATTCATGTAAGTTATTCAGTTTCGGTTTAGATTGAAGTTGGCTTCATCATTGTTGAGTTGAGCTCGAGCAGCTCTTGTCCAGGGTTAGAACTAGTCGGAGTAACATAGGCTCTAACTATAGAGTGAGCCAAATATAACCATCTATTTTGACTTGAGTAGCTCTTGAGGCAAATCAAGCTTTTTTATGTTTAATTAGTATCGAAACTTATATTCGTATTCGAATTCAAGTATTAGTAATCGAGTTTGAAGTCAGGCGTAGAATCTAATTCATCTTTTGACAATATAAACGAGCTAAGTCGAGCAAGCTCAAACATTTTCTTACAGCTTTAGTTCACCTGGGATGTATTAGAAATTGATGTATAGTTGAACTAATTAATAACCATAACTTGGCTGGTTTTCAGCAACTGTACAAGGAAGGTGCAAGGTTCTTTTGGATACATAATACGGGTCCCCTCGGCTGCTTGCCGTACAATGTTATATATGGCAAAAAGGCAGGAAATCTCGATAATAATGGATGCGTTAAGTCCCAAAATGAGGCAGCCATGGAGTTCAATAGGCAGCTTAAAGACAAGATCTCCTGGTTAAGAACTCAACTTCCTTTTGCCAAATTAACTTATGTTGACGTTTACTCGGCCAAATATGCTCTCATCAGCAACGCCAAGAACCTAGGTAAAACATCTTTGTTTTTAATTAATACATGTTTGAAAGTCTTTGTCATGCTGGCTGTGTTGGTTTGGGTGTGGACATGAGTGTCGGATATGAATATGCTATGTTGTATCGACTCTTCGTTTCCCCTTAAGCATACATGTTCAACATATCCGGACATATACCCGTATCTGACACTCGTACTTGACTTTGAGTAATTTTACTGCGATAAACGCGAATGTGGCCATTAATTTGACTTCTGTATCTGTTGTTACGGGCAGGTTTTGTCGATCCGTTTATTTTTTGTTGTGGAAGCTTTTATGGATACCACATAAATTGTGGGAAAAAGGCGATAGTGAATGGCACAGTTTATGGAAACCCCTGCGAGAACCCATCAAAGCACGTTAGTTGGGATGGCATACATTACTCTCAGGCAGCCAATATGTGGGTTTCCGATCGGATTCTCAATGGCTCCTTCTCCGATCCACCTGTTTCGATTCAAGATGCTTGTCATCATCAGATAAGTACGTGATATCAACAATCACGGTGAGTTATTGGGTTTTAAGAATGGTTACGTGAAGTAGTTTGATTAAATCCTGAAATGCATAAGTTTAGATTGAGTGTATGTAATGATATTAGTTTCCGGATTTTCGGATTTTACTTGATAAAAAAATGTCAATCTTGATAAATTTTCGGATGTTTTAAGTATCTGCTATGAAGAATGATTGATTACATGAAACAATTTGATTGTATCTTACTTTAAAAGAAACGAAGAAAAAAACTTTAATTTGTTTATTTAGACCTTATAAACATTTTTTTATTGAATATATTTATCTAGAATATGTTTGAGAAGTCACATGGCGATTGGGTTATTATAGTTAATGGGTTATCTATTATTTGGCAAGTTAGGAAGAGACGAAATGATGTAATCTTTCAAGACCTCCAAGCCCTTCGTTTCATGCTGGGCTCCATTGGAACAGATTTTATCATGATTCAGCCGCCCAGTCGAGTTCCAATGTTGCTCCTGGCGTTCTTCCAGTTCAATGGACTCCACCGGATGAAGGTTGGATATGTCTTAACACAGATGGAGTGCTCTCGCACTCAACCGGATATGGTTCAGCTGGGGGGTTTCTTGAGAAATCCTTCAGGCGATTGCTTGGCTATATTTCGACGATCTTTAGGCCATTCCTCTGTGCTGGAAACGGAGCTATGGGGCATTTTAGAAGGCCTCAAGATTGCGGAGCTATGGGGCATTTTAGAAGGCCTCAAGATTGCGTGGCAGCTTGGTTTTGAGCGCGTTGTTGTCTGGTCAGATAGCAGTGACACAATCCAACTACTCTCCCCTCCATCTCTTATGAGTCCTTACGCCTTGGTCCGTAGCATTGCCTAGTGGTGTAACAGAGCCTGATGCGTTGATTTTCAGAGGATCTATCGAGAAGCGAATGTCGCGGCTGACTTCATTGTGCAGATGCCCTATCCCATTGCTGATTCCTTTACCGTTTTTGATGATTTTCTGTCTCGTTTATCGGAGATTCTTTATAGAGATAACTATGGCCCTCCGTTCCATTGGATAACAAACTCTATGTAATGGCTTTCGCTTTCTTTCCATTCCAAGGGAAAAAAAGATCTATTGAATCGGCCGATTAACTTGTGTGTTTTTTTTTTTATAAATGTAGGATTATTCAAGTTGATTATTAAAAAATAATAAATGAATGAAATCATAGAAAAATATACCTTTTTCCAAAGGTTGGTTTCATTTTTCAATCTTAAAACCTTAATTACAACTTGAATTTATCGAACGAACTTAATAATAAAATGTTGGACCTAAATGATGTGTCCGAATTCGAGCAATAGCATTAGGATATATGTGTTACCAATAGTTAAAAAATATTCTCAATTAATATTACTTTATAATCATTTTAGACTATTAAAAGAAAATCTTAATTACAACATACATGATTATATTTAAGCTATGAACAATTTAATTTTTTAAAAAGGAAATAAAGTTGAGAATCGTAGGTTATATATAAAAAGCTATACTAGTTACCAACCAATCGAACCATTTAAAACCAACATCAATAAGTCATCTAGTTTCATAAAAAAAAAGTCAATTCAATCACACTACGCATGTCCTTTGTCCTTCACATGATCAAAATTGTGTAGAAAAAAAGGTAGAGTAGAATTATAGTTAATTGTTTGTAATATTTGAATTACTCGTATAATTTGAATTGTACATTCTAACTCTAAACCAAATTATTAAACAATTATTCGAATTTAATAATTAATAAAAAATTTATAACGATTTATCAAACAAATTTTAAATTATTGTCATTAGCTCAATGACATCACTCAATGATGAAATTGAATAAGAATCGATATAATAATTTATATCTACAATTTAATAATCAATCTTGCCAGTACGAACTAAATCATCTTAGTGGTTAAAAGGATATTATTTCTAAATATTCTGTTAAATGATTGAGAATCTTTAAAATAAATATGACTTTTTAATCGGTCTAGATTAACAAACAAAAGTTAATCTTGTTAAGAGAGATTTTCCTCTCTGTTTTCTTCTTGAAGTTCTGTATAAACGCTTTATTTATATCACTAGAGAATATTTATGGGACGGTAAAGCGAAGTTGACATCGGTTTATATCTATTTTAGAAAATTCTACCGTTACTAATGAAGACAAAGGGCACGTTGGATATTCTTCTAAAAATTATTTGTTATTAAAAAGGATGAATTTTGGATTCGTCAAAATGGCAAGTTGTGGTAGAGAAAAAAGACACTTATCTTTGTCAAAAAAGTAAACGTGGGGTCTTTTAATTTGAATTTTTTTTAACATTTTAGAGATTATAAGATAATGCATTTTTAAAATTTTTAATCATTTAATAATAAACAATCGAACTTCTATACATACAATATTTGAATTCAAGACCTCTAAGATTATAATTATTCCTCTAACAACTGAAATCATTTATTTCGTATTCATTAACCCTAATTTAAACAGTGATTGATCATCTTTTATATATATGATTTTTTGTTGTTAACACTGGGTTGATTGATTTGTCGTACAGAAATTGAATGAGGGTTATCGTTTGAGAATGATAAATCCATGGAGTATGGATCGGAGTGTAATAGCCACAGCTCGATGAGGGTGGACAAGATACCTTGAAATTTAAATTTTTTTTGATTAGTTATTTATTTTATTGATGGTGTCGATCATAAAATTTTTAGTGTCTACATTAAAATCTGAGAATTTTTCGATTAATTAATTATTTTACAAACAGTATCTACCATAAAATTTTATTTGTACTCGTTTTATTTAAAATTTTATATGGTTAATATTCGTGTATATATTTTAAAAAATATTTCTGGATATGCTAATGAGAGAAGACGGGTGTTCTTTGACTTGCTTTTATTTGTGGGTGTCTGCTTTACGGTCAAAAGTTGACATTCCCCATGTTTTTTTATGGCTCTCAAGTCAAACCCCCTTTCCTTTTCCCACTTAGTTCTTTACCGAAATGAGACAAGGAGCGTAAGCTACCTCATTCTTTGACTATTTGTTGGGAAAAGCTTCAGTAATTTTCATTTAATCATAAAATATAAATATATTAATACATATTTTATCTACACCTCTTTTGTTTTTAAGTCCAACATTAAATAGTCAAATTGAATTAATTCGACCTCCTAAATTTAAGATTCTTCTTTTTGTTTCGACTCATTTATGGAATCCGTGTAACTGGCTATATTTTCACCTAAACCCCACTTGTTTTAATTTGTTCTTGTTCCATGAGGAAGTATGTGGCTTCCTATGTTACGCTATAGGAGGAAAAGAAATAAAGAGAGCAATTGGGAACAATGAAATCTTTGACCAAATCTCAAAGCGAAAAAGTGAGCCATGGTCAATGTTTGCAAGAACCTTGTCAAAGTCGACCAAGAAAATCCCTACTCCTAACAGAAAAAAAGGTTTGTTTTTAATCAAATTACATGTGGTCATTGTTGAACCACATGTAGCAAAATGACCAAGAATTTACGTATTTGGTCTGAACATCCACAAACGATATTGGAACAATAACCGGTTGAAATAGAAGAGTTAGAGGCTGTGTAATTTGCAAGTGTATCTGTGTCGCACGTAATTAGGATGGTCATCGGTTAGGTCAAATTTTCGATTAACTTAATCTAATTCAAGAGGTATACTTCCTTTACTCGAAGTCAAGTTTAGTTTAGAAAAGTTACATCCAAAAATACACTCAAACAAATGGAGAGGAGTAGCTTGAGGGGAAGTCAGCCAACAATCCTGTTCGTCCAAAACATACCGCCTAAATTTCATTGAAGTGGCCTGAGGTAGCTTTTTGGAAGGGGAATAAGTACCAGGCCAATCTTTTAAAAGCTGTTCTTTACTAGTTCAGCTGATACTTAGAGCATAAAATTACTCCAGTAAGACGCGCATTTTTTCTCTAAAACCGTGGACCATAAATTGGAGTACTTTTTGTCCCAGTCTCTTGGTTTTCAACCTTCCATGGATTTTGGGAAGTACTTTGGTATGCCTCTATTCCACAGACGAGTAACAAAGAGTACTTTCTAGTTTATCATTGACAAAGTCCAAGAGAAGTTTGGATGGAAGGCCTCCAATTTGTCCTTTGTCGACCGTGTCACTCCTGTGAAATCCACCCTCCTAACTGTTCCAAATTACTTCATGCAAACCGCCGCAATCACCAAAGACGTTTTCGAGAGGCTTAAGTAAATCGCTCGTAGATTTGTATGGGGCGGTTCCGAGAATAATTCTAAGGCTGCTCTTGTTAAATGGGACACCTGATGCCAACCTATCAAGAATGGGGGCTTGGGTTTTCGTCCCCTTTGGGCTCAAAATGAAGCTTTTTTGATTAAACTTGGTTTCAACTTCCTTATGCAATGCTTTGTCGTGAGAGTGAAATATAAAATCAAACATGCCTAAATCCATCGATGGGAAGAATGGATATTTTGTTTGGAAGTCACTTGCCAAGGTTTGGAAGCACATCTGTGGTAACGTTTATTGGTTAATCGAGAATGAGAAAGATACCAGCTTTTGGTTTGATTCGTGGATGAGTGGCTCTAATCCTTCAGCTGATTATGTTCCTTCTGATCAACTTTATTTGCCTAATGCCACTGTAAGTGATTTCGGTACAGGTAATGGGAGTGGAATAGTCAATTGCTTTGGCAAGCCCTCCTTGAAAATGTGGTTCTGCAGGTTTTGGGAACGCCACCCATATGTGTTGAAAATTGGCACACCAAATTGCATCATTAGTCAACATTATGGGTGGCAATTTGGTGGCATTAATGGGGCTGCAAAATTGGTCAAATTTGGCCACCAAATTGTTGAAAATTTTGGATGGTAAAACTATGCAATTAGTCATTGTACTTTTATGGTATTTACAAGATTGATCCTTAAGCTTCAACTATAAATACCTTAGCTCATTTAGCTTCAAAACCATCCCAAAGCATTCTAGCTTTCTTCCAATACTAGAGAGAATTCAGAGAGTTTCTTGAGAGTTGTTTTCTCCTTTTTATCAAGAGAGAATTATCATTGTTTACTCTTTGGTAGATCGAG